GCAAACTCCAGACAATTGAGTCTGAGATAGTCACAGTGTTTCGGTTATCCCTGCAAACTCCAGGCAATCGAGTGTGAGATACAACGTACCAGCTATCCCTGCAAACTCCAGACAATTGAGTCTGAGATAGTAACTGTGTTTCAGCTGTCCATGCAAACATCAGGCAATCGAGTCTGAGACAGTCACAGTGTTTCAACTGTCCATGCAAACTCCAGACAATTGAGTCTGAGATACTCACAGTGTTTCAGCTGCCCCTGCAAACTCCAGGCAATCAAGTGGGAGATAGTCACAGTGTTCTAGCTATCCGTGCAAATTCCAGGCAATCGGGCAAAAGCTGAACAAACTCCCTTTCAGGTGCTATTCCAGGTGTCTCTGTAGAACATCTCTGTTTACATGTATTTGATCAGAACACAGTCACGCTGACACCTCAGCAAGGGAGGCTGAGTGACATAGTCTCTGGCTGAGTGATGTGGCTTCTAGAGCAGGCCTTGATAAGCAGGCGGGCAACTGAAGATGAACAAAGCAGAAAACTGGAAGGAAAGGTAAGAATATAGTAATATAAGTATATTAATTATATATATATAGTAATATAGTCACTTTGAATACAGTAAATCAACCATAAAAAATTAGCAAATGAAGAAACACCCGTATATCCAACACATTCAAGATCTAGATTCATACACGTTAGGGAACATGCTCGCTGACTTCTGAAAGAGATTAACTTACCCCTTCTACTTAGGTTGTCATAGAATGAGATTTTACATATTTCCTACACGCAGCATAAATATAAACTTCATAATAGGAGGCAATCATGTTCTCCATCTGGGCTATATGAATGGTGTTTTCTAAACAGTGTGAGATAATGCGGGGGGGGGGTATTTATAATCCATCCTATATAAATTTCCTATCAGCTGGGGGGCGTGGTCTGTGGTAGAGCATTTGACTGGCAGTCATAAAGCCCAGGCTTGATCCCCAGTATGCACCAAACAACTATAGCACACAAGACAAAATCAGCAAGCAAAAAAACCAAGCCTCCCATCACCTCCCCCTTCACTGTTGAGGGAGCCTGTGGCAGCTCTCACTGGAGGAGAGTTACCGCCACCTGCTGGGGAACTGCGGCATTAATCCTTCAAATTACCACACACGCTTGGAGGCGCACACACAGGCCTAAGCAGAACTTATTTCTCAGTTAGTTATAGTTCCCCACTATAACACTCAAAACCAACGCTAAATAATTAATCTGCTTAAGCTACACCAGTCTGCTGTGTGCGGTGACACGGGCTGAGACGGGACAGTCTCAGAGTACGGGGCCTGGACTGGACAAGTTCCTTAATTTCAGGAAGTGGACAACTCAAAGGCTTCATTCAGAAAGTCCCTGAAACTGATCTGATACAAAAAGACCCTCCCTCCTCAAGCGTCTATAGCATGCAAAGACTGCTTAGAGACACTTTCGGACAAGCTAAGCTCCTGGAAGAGATTCAGACCAGCTGAGCTGCCTAGAAGATACTTTTCAATTTGTTTAGTTGCTTGTCGGTTGCTCAGTGAGCTGGTTACCAGCTTTTCTGAGCTGCTATAGATTCCAGAACAGACCTTGGTGCTGCAACTGTCTTTGAGTCATTCCCGTAAGTAACCCCTTACCCATATTCCTGCAGGCCACCCCTAATAAAACTCATCTGTTCAAACTGAACTTCCGTGCTGTCTGTTATGAGTACGCATTTGTTCACATACCGCAGAAATGTCACACAACACACGATGACTTATGGACTATAATCAATCCTAGTACTTGGAGGCGGAGGTAGGGGATTACCATGGTAAAGTCAGGCTGTATTATATAGTGAGTTCCAGGACAGCATGGGCTGTAGATTGAGACCTTGTCTCAACAATGACAGCAACAGAAAGAAGCCAGAAAGTTGTGTTCTCGTGCACTATTTAGGAGAAGGTTCCCTGGAGAGACAGCAGAGGGGGGCAAACTGAGAATGAGCGGAAAGGCCTTAGCTACATCCTAGATTCTAAATGGTGACCACTGGTTTTAGCTATTTTATCAGAGACAAGTCATACAATTCCCAAACATCAGCTATAGTTTCCTATGTGCCTCTGTTTTCTGTTTTTAATACTGTAATTACAGTTTATTGATTCGTGTGTGTGGATGTGAAGGTAAGAGAACAGCAGTTGGAGTCTGCTCTCTCCTTCCACTATGTAGCTCCTTGGACTCTAACTCAAGTTGTCAGGCTTGGTAGCAAGTGCCTTTGTCTACTGAGCCTTCTCACCAGACACCATCTGCTTTCATACAGGTAACATACACAAAGATTTAAGAGTTTGTCCAGCCTGGCAGTGGTGGCACATGTCTTTAATCCTAGTACTCTGGAGGCAGAGGCAGGCAGATCTCTGAATTCAAGGCCAGCCTGGTCTACAGAGTTAGCTCAAAGACAGTCAGGACTACACAGAGAAACCCTGTCTCAAAAGAAAAAATTAAGAATTTGTTCGTTAAAGCAAGCTTTAACAGTTGAAAAAGGGTTCTGACTTTTTCTTTTTACAATACTCTTTGTAGAGCTATAATATTCTCCTTCTCCTCCTCCTCCTTCCTCTTCCTCATGTTTTTTACAGTGCTGGTACCCAAACCCAAGGCCTCATGCACGCTAGATAAGTGCCCTGCCACCCTGAGCTCTGCCCCCAGCTCTGTGTTGATTTCAATGACAAGTTTTGAGTTTGTTTGTTTTTGTTTTGTTTTATTTGTTTTTCTCGAGACAGAGTTTCTCTATGTAACAGCCCTGGCTGTCCTGGAATTCACTCTGTAGACCAAGCTGACCTCAAACTGACAGAGATCCACCTGCCTCTGCCTCCCAAGTGCTGGCATTAAAGGTGTGTGCCACCACTCCTGGCTCAATCACAACTATTTAACTTTTTTTTTCTAAGTGAAATAGAAAGGTATGGGGGTGCATGCATGTAGTTCCAGTACTATAGAGACTGATACAGGAGGATTGCTGTAAATTCAAGCCTAGCTGGAGCTACATCAGTGAGTACCAAACCAGCCAATGTTACATAATGAGACCCTGTCTCCAAGTGGGAAAAGGAAAAACAATTATAGAATCTACATGATTCTTAAAATATTTAAAAATATAAGTCCTGTCTTCATGAGGCTTGAAGGTGAGGATGGCAAAGAGGTCCACGGACTCTTATGTCCTTCACAGGGCACATGTCTGTAGTCACATTGTCACTCTAGACTAACTCTTTATTCTCCTAATTTAAAACGTTTCTATTTTAGTGGGAGGAGTCACGGATGTGTGTGCCGTGTGCCTGTGCAGAGGCCAGAGGAGGTTACAAGGTGTCTTCTACTCTGCCTCTCTCTCTCTTCTCTGAAGATGGAGTCTCTTACTAAACATGAAGATTTGGACTTCTTCAGTTCTGCAGGGCTTGCTGCCCAGTGAGCTTCTGACCTCACAAGGCTGGGGTCACAGGTGCGTGGCTATGCTCAGGATTTTATCACATGGGTGCTGGGAATTCTAACCCAGGACGTCATGGTTGCACAGCAAGCCTGCCTCTCTCCTGAGCTGTTCTCCCAGTCACTGGACCGAGTCCACTCCTGGATGAGCCTCTGCTACTCTGTGACGTGTCATCTGATGCTTGAAGACACGGGTCAGCAAAGGGACACTTTTCTCTGGGTAAATGTGGGGGCTTTGTTTGTTTGTTGTTTTGTTTTATTTTTAAATCTAGGGCTGGGAGGGTTTTTAGTCTGGGCCCTTGGGAAACATCAAAAGAACAATAGAGCTCAGTTTTATCAGTTACTCAACACAACTGGTTAGGACACTGGGCAATCTTAGTACAGCATTCCGTTTTTCAAATTACTTTTTTTTTATGTGCATAAGTGTTTTGCCTACATCTATGTATTTATGTATGTATGTGCATTGCATGTGTGTTTTGTGCCCCCACAGGGGCTAGAAGATGGTGTTGAGTACCCTAATACTGGAGTTAAGGGAATTTTAAGTGACCATGTGGATGCTGGGAACCGAACCCAGGACCACAGCAAAAGCAGCAAGCACTCTTAACTGCTGAACTTCTCTCCAGCCCCTACCCCTACCCCACCTTGGTGTAATATTATTGAGTCGTCTACTCTTGAAACTGTTCCTGCCTCAGGCACTCAAAGGGAATGCTGTTGTTCTGAAAAAGATGCTTAGAGGCTTCAAACATGTTTGGAAATGGAAAGAGTAGATCTAAGCAATATCAGTGAGGACACATCTCACTTAGACCAGGCTGGCCTCAAACTCCTTCTGTCGCAGAGGATCCCTCTACCATCCCCTCCCCAGCAGCCCTGGGATTACAGGTGCCACCATCATTCGGGTTTTATGAGGTACTGGAACAGCGTGCCTCCTGCGTGCTAGGCAAAGACTCCAACTGAGTGACCCGCACCTCTCCCGCCCCCCCCCCCCGCCCCAGTCCTAAGAGGATAAATTTCATTAAGTCACCAAATTTGTTGCATTTGTTACAGCGGCCCAGCTAAGCAATACCAAGTACTCTCAACTTTCTCCTTAGTAAGTCCAGCTGGAGCCTGGTGTGTAGCCACAATACATAAGGGATCCTAGGCCTGAAACGTTGTTACAAAAATATGCCAAGCAAACAAAAAATCTGCTGTCTGGGTTTCTTTGATGCTACCCCAGTTGATTGCTGCGGGCCTTCACACTTAAAGCCGTAGTACTGTAGCTGTTCTTCCCTACTCGTGTGTGTACATTCCTTCTCCGTTGAGGATGGAGTTGATCTCTTCAGGGAAACGCTGAGGCTACGCTTGCATGCTCGTAATAGGGGCCCTGTCCCTTACTCATGACTCTTTCGAAGTCCTATCTGGGATCTTTTCTGGGACTGCTTGGGTGAGGCATGTCTCCCGGTCTGGATCGGTGGATATCGGGTCTGTTCCCGAGCGGCCGAGACAGTGTCCAGGTTGATGCTGGCGCGGCCGCTCAGGCCCCGCGCCCCCAGCCCGCGTCTGCGGCTGCGCGGCCGGCCCGGGAGGGGGCGCGGCGGGCGGCTGGGAGCGGGGCCGCGAGCGGCATGTCTCGCTACACCAGGCCCCCCAACACCTCCCTGTTCGTCAGGAACGTCGCCGACGCCACTAGGTGAGCCAAGACGGGACCCCGCGGGAGTACGGGTCGGGGCGGAGGAGTGTCTGGGTGCGGGCTGGGTGGTGGGCTGTCGCATGCCGGCCGGGTGCCTCGGTGCCCGGCTGCAGGCTGTCGGGGTGCCATCCGGGTGTCGGGGTACCAGTTGGGTGTTGGCGTGCTGGCCGGGTGTTGGAGTCATGGACAGGTGTCGGTGTACCGAACTACGGGGTGTACGGGTGTTGGGGTGCTGACCAGGTGTTGGGGTGCTGTCATGATGACAGGATGCTGGCCGAGGTGCAGGCTGTGGTGGCAGTGCTTGCTCAGGCCCTGTTGTCACTGCGTCCTGCAGACGCCGCCCACTAACCTTCCGGAGTAACTGGGGCTGTCTCATCTCAGGATGCGCACCTTAGGCCTTGCAATTTTCTCTGCGCTGTTCAGGCAGTGCTGACGGCCCAAATTTAATATACGAGGCCAGCCTGGTCTACAAAGCGAGCTCCAGGACAGCCAAAGCTTTTACACAGAGAAACCCTGTCTCGAAAAGCCAACACACACGCGCACACAGACACACACACAGACACACACACAGACACACGTATGACTAGTCGATTATCTGATGTATATTTTTCTTGTTTTTCTTTGAGTGCTGGAGACAGTCTTAGCCCTTCATCTTGGTTAAGTTGTCAGTTTCAATCCTGGGAGTCTGTCTCCTGCAGCCCTCATTGAAAATTCTGTCTAGAGGATTGTCAAACATAGAGCTTAAGAAATGCCCTTTTTCATAGAGCACTTTTTCCTTTAATAGGAGTAGGAGGAAATGGGAGAGGTGACATTAAAAGACACCTTAATTTCACTGGAATCACTTAATCCCTCTTTCTAGTTCTACCATCTTGTCCACTTAAGGAAAAGTTGAAGTTCAAAGGTTTTAACCTTTGTGCCTGGACCCAAACAGGCACAAAACTATGCATTTCTTCACATGTTGGTTTCTGGAGTAATCATGACATAAGTTTTGATTTGTTAAGAGAGGGTCTCCATCTAGTCCAGGGTGGCCTCAAATTCCCTACATAGGCTAAAATGACCTTGAACTTCTCATCCTTCTGCCTCCACCTCCCTCCCAAGTACTAGGATCACCGGTGTGCACCACCACTAAGCTGATAATATTTAGGGATATTAAGTGCTTCAAATTTGATCACTATAAATATATGTGCCACAACTATAGACTGTTCATTAATAGAATTTTAAGATGCCTGTGTTTTATGGTTCTTTTCTTACCCTGTTTATCAATACATTGTTACATAGAGAAGCAGAATTTAATATTTGGGTAGGCTTAAAAAAATCTCATACTTAGACAACTTGGACAATTAGCGCCAGGTCTTCGTGGCATGTTTAAAAAAGAAACCCCAGATATTTCCAATTCAGACAGCCCCAAGAGCTATGCAGGTGACTGAGGCTGCCAGTTTACAAGGCATAGTAGAATGGTTGGACCGCAGCAAATGAGTATGCACCATCTAACGGGGAGGTCATGTTGCTACCTCCCCCCCCCCCAATTCTAGAGACTCTAACCCAGGGCTGTGTGCATGCTGGGCTCCCTACTGAGCTATAGTTACTGGGACATCGCTTCAGCAACCAGGATTTGGGCTTTCCCTCTTCCTGCGTCAACCTCTGCCCTAGCTGTGATTACAAGCATATGCCGCTACCACCCCCAATTTGCCCTGCCTCATCTTACTATCAAGAGAAGTTAGAAGAGGGCACCAGATCCCATTACAGATGGTTGTGAGCCACCATGTGGTTACTGGGAATTGAACTCAGGACCTTTGGAAGAGCAGGCAGTGCTCTTAACAACTGAGCCATCTCTCCAGGCATACATGCAGACAGAATACTGAGAATACTGTATACATAATAAATAAATCTTAAAAAAAAGAGAAGTTAGGAACCTGGATTTTTGTGTATATTGAACTAGCTTTTAAAACATCACTATTATTAAGTTGTATAAGGGGCTAGCAAGATGCCTCCATGAGTAGAGATGCCTGCCTCCAAGCCTGAGGATCTGAGTTCTAGCCCTGGGGGCTACATAGTGGAAGAAGAGAACAACCCCCTCGAGTTGTCCTCCGACCTCACATAAGCCACATGCACACACACCACGCTAAAGATGCATTCAGTTGAATAATGTGGAGTCTCATCTCTGTAGATTTAGAAGCTCTAAAATAGTGGACATTTCATATTTCTATAATGCTTCAACATTGTGCATTCTGAATAAAACACATCTGGCCTGGAGGTGCAGTTCAGCAGATTGCTTGCCTTACATTCGTGAGGCCTTGGGTTCTGTCCCCAGCACCACAAAGTAAAAAAAAAAAAAAAAAAAAAAAAAAAAACCCATGTCTTCATGTGACTACGAACCTTGGATCCAGGTAACCCTCCCCCGAGTGCTGAAACTGATAATTGAGAGTTACTAATTCTATTTTCTGTTCTTTCATCACTTTTTAGCCCGACACTGGGGAGGTAATCAAAACTGAGATTGTTTTGTATCAAGAGAATAATAGTTTCTCGTTTTTGTTAAATACCCACTGTGTGACAAGTGCCAGGTGAAAAACTTAGAATAAGTCAGAGATGGCCCAGTAGGATCAAATACCTGTGGCCAAGCCTGACAGCCCGCCCGCGTTCAGTCCCCAGGGCAAACAAGGCAGGAGAGCTGACTGCTTCGTGCTATTGTTCGACCTCCACATGAACACTGTGGCATCTGTGCCCAACACATACACACATGCAGAGAGTAAATGTCACTTTTAAAAGCTTCACATATGTCATCTTATTTAGCTTTTGCCATCCCGAATGCCTTAATTGGGGTTAACACTGCTGGGATGAAACACCATGACCAAAGCAACTGAGGAAGAAAAGGGCTTATTTAGTTTATGCGTCCACGTCACACAATGCATCATCAAAGGACGCCAAGGCAGGAGCCCAAACAGGGCAGGAACCTAGGATAGAAACTGATCATGAGGAGGTTGCTGCTTACTGACCTGCTCCACAGGGCTCCCTCAACCTTCTTATAGAACCCAGGACTACAAGCCCAGGAGTGGCACCACCCACAATGGACTGGGCCCTCCCACATCAATCACTAATTAAGAAAATGCCCTACAGTCTTCCCACAGCTTGATCTTATGGAGGCATTTTCTCGGTTGAGGCTTCCGCCTCTCTAGCTTGTTCAGGCTGACATACTGCAAGCCGGTACACTGTGTGTATGTTTACATTTTATTTCAGATTTTAGAGACAGAGTTTCTCTATGAGGCCAAGAGAAGGCACGAGGAGCAGAGGCCCACACATCTGCATACTCAGTAATCCCAGAAAGTACTAAAACGGAAGTCATAATAGATATGCAAAGGACGTGTAGGGTAAAAGAGAGGAAAATATACAAAGAAAATGTAAATAATAAATTGTTTTAAATGAAGAGATGTGACATGACATTATGAGACAAGGGACATCCAGAGATGCTGCCGAGTTCATTTTCTGCTGGCATCTACTCCTGGGCATGCAGCCGACCAATGAGAGTAGTTTGTTTCCCCAGTGAGACTCCTTTGGAGGAAATGGAATTTTCATTTGCAAGTGATCATCAAATTGGAGATTGCTTTGGGTTAGGAATGGGGACCTGTGTCCACGTCTCCTCGGTTCTTGGACCCCAGACTCATGCAGACCAGTGCCAGGCTCTGTGCGTGCTGTGTCTTCATTCTCTGTGAATTCGCAAGTGTCTCCACGGTAAGATGGAGTCCTTTGGGTGTATGCCCAGAGTGCTACAGCTAGATCTTGACATAGGTCGATTCTCAGCTTCCAGGGGAATCACAGGCTGATCTCCATAGCGGCTGCACTAGTTTGCATTCCAATCTGCAGTGACTAAGAGCTCCCTTTCTGGTGACTCTTCTCCAGCATCTGGGGTCATTTTTTTTTTAAGCTTGGCCATTTTGACTGGTGTAATATGAAATCTCAAAGCTATTTTAATTTGCAGTTTCCTGATGGCTAGGGATGTTGAACATTCCTTAAGATGTTTCTCAGCCATTTGTGTTTCATCTTTTGACTAATCCCTGTTTAGTTCTGTACCCCATTTTTTAATTGTGTTATTTGTTTCCTTGGTGTTTAAGGTCTTTTTTTTATTCCTTTGTATATTATATATAGTTGACAAATCTTTTTCCCATTCTGTAGGCTGCCTCTTCACTGGAATGATGGTGTCCTTTGCTGTACAGAAGTTGCTTTGTGTAATGAGGTCCCATTTGTCAGTTATTGGTACTAATGCCTGCTATGTGGATCCCTTTTCAGAAAATTCCTTCTTGTTCCTATAAGAGCTATTATATTACAATTCTCTCCTCCATCAATTCAGGGTATCAGGTCTTCTGTTGAGACCCTTGGTCCATTTTGAGTTGAGTTTTGCACAGGGTAAGAGATATGGGTCTAGTTTCATTCTTCCACTCAGTAACTTCCATTCATTTTCATTCAATCTAGCTTAACCGGCACCGTTTGTTGAAGGTGTTGTCTTTTCTTCAGTGTGTATTTTTGGCCTCTTTGTCAAAACTCAGGTGTTTATAGGTGGATGGACTTAATTTCTGGGTTCTCGTTTTCAGGAAAAGGCACTCCATGTGCAATCCTGACAACCTGAGTTTGATCCCCAGATTCCACCGCTGTTACTGATATTCCATCACTGTTACTGATAACAACTCCTTCCATTCACTGGGACCAGAAGCTGTGCAGTCACCTTGGAGTCTCCCTCTCTGCATTGTTTTTTTTTTTTTTTTTTTTTTTTTAAAGCTCTCTTCTTTCTTCAGGACCATGCATGCTTAGAACTTAAGGCTGAGCCTCTGTGAGCTCTCTCAGGCTGTGTGTGACAGTGATTGATGACAGACAGGCGTGTGATTCCATCTCCATCACTTACTAGCTCAATGACATTACAGACAGACTAATCTGTCTGTAAACAGCCAGAGTTGTGGGAATTAAGTCATATTCAGACAAACAGCTTCTTGTGTGTGTAACTGTCAGCTAGCACAACTAGACATGTGCCTCCAGTTAAACTGTGGCTCCACAAAGAGAAATAATGCTGTTGTCAAGGTTCAAAGGAAATGCCAATTCTCCAAACTCCAAAAAGCAGTCCAAATATCCAGAAATGAGCTCAGCATGGATGATAGGAGGAGTTCCCCATCCACAGATCCCCTCCAGCTCACAGGTTTCCCTCCTCCAAAGCTGCTCACTTTCCTTATAACCCTGCTATTCTTATTATGTTCCCTCTAGACTCTGCTCCTCTCGCCCTTTTCTCTACCCCCTATCCCCTGCTATTCCCCTCTCTCACAGATAGTCCTGGTCATGTCCATCCTGCTGGTCACTGATGTGGGAGGGTCTTCTGTCTTTGTATTACTTTCATTGGTTAATAAAGAAACTGCCTTGGCCCTTTGGTAGGACAGCAGCTTAGATAGGTGGAGTAGACAGAACAGGATGCTGGGTAGAAGGCAGTGAGGCAGTCGTGAGGAAGCTCCGGCCCAAGATGGACATAGGTTAGAATCTTCCCGGTAAGCCACCACCTTGTGGTGCTACATACATTAATAGAAATGGGTTAATCAAGATATGAGAGCCAAGAAGAGGCTAGATATAATGGGCCAGGCAGTGTTTAAAAGAATACAGTTTGTGTGTTGTTATTTTGGGTGTAAAGCTAGCCATGCGGGAGCTGGGCAGGACAAAAAGCAGGCCTGCTTGCCTCTTCACTACAGGTCATGTCCACTCTACTTCTCTCTCTCTCTCTCTCTCTCTCTCTCTCTCTCTCTCTCTCTCTCACTGTCTCAGTGTCTCTCTGTCTCTCTCTGCTTTTTCTTAAGTAAGCCCTGTGCCTATAATGGTAGAAGACATAAGAAGGTTCAAAATATCATTAGCTATAAGAATAAAGTAGTTAACTTTGCTTTATTGTATATGGGAAGAACACACATTTTTTTGTTGTTGTTGTTAAAGTCCAAGAAATAATTCTGAGACTGCTTTAGATTCTAATTTCTTGCTTTCTGAAAACAAAATTCAAATAAACATGAAGTTATAGTGAGACAAGAATGCATTCTTAAATGAACATCAAGTCTTGTGATGGGAGTAACTTTCAAGAGTGGATGTGCTGGGCCAGGCCTTTTGAAATTAAGTTTAACAACCACACGAAATGTTTGTAAAAATACAGACTCCCAGGTCCCTCATCCAGACTTCCTGGATTAGGGTCTCCAAGAAAGAAAGGACTCAGAGGAGTTTTTTTTTTTTTTCCTTTTAAAGCCTTGGGTGAAACTAGGCTTGATGGTGCAACCTGCAGTCCTAGCACTTGGGGAACTAAGGCAGAAGGACTGTTAGTTCAAGGCCAGCCTGGTCCATATAGCAAGGCTTGGTTCCCTCACCCACAAAGAGAAAGAAATGTGGGTAACTGTTATAAGAGACAGCTGTAAATATTGAAGTTTAGACAATATACTTTCATTTTCCTTTTTGTTTTTGTTTTTTTTTTTTTTTTACTTTTATTGGTGTGTGGGCCTCTCTCTGTGTTCTATTCCTCCTCTTCTCTCTCCGTGCTTAAAGAGTAAAAGGCAACTTGCAGATAATGATTCTTTTTCCACCATGTGGGCTTAAGGTTTTGAACTCCGATCTTTAGGCTGAGCTACTCAGCCTTTACCCAGTGAGCTGGGCCGGACGATACACTTTGTTTCGAAAGTTTCAGTTGGATTTCTGTAGGCCAAGTGTTATTCAGCCTATTTATATTTACTTGCCTTGTTTCTGTACCGCTCCAGGCCCGAGGACCTACGCCGGGAGTTTGGTCGGTACGGCCCCATAGTGGACGTTTACATCCCACTCGACTTCTACACTCGCCGCCCCCGCGGGTTCGCCTACGTTCAATATCCTCTACTGTACGTGCGCATGCAGACGCGCTTCATAATGTGCTTATCCGCATAGTGTTTAGGGATGGACGTTAGGAGATCAACATTGTCTTATTAAATGTGTTTTTTTCTTTATCTCAGAAACTCTACAACAGTCCGCAGTAGCTGGACAGTGCCTCCACCCCCAGTCCCCCATCGCCTTACCCCCCTCTCCACGCCCCTTCCCCCAGTCTGGACCAGCTTGTTAGCCAGACTCCAACCATAAGCGATGGGAGAGACTGGTGGCCAGCGTCCCCTTTGGTATGGTAATGGGCGCTTCATGTAGCCATTTGTGCCAGGTTTCTTTGAGACCTCAACGGTTTCCTGTTACTTTATACTTACACCTAACTAGTAGCACATAGGGGACTGTTGAAAGTTGTAGGTTCAGAGGTGGGCACCACCCTCAAAGGGCCAAGGTCATCTTTTGTCTTAGCTTGCTTTTGTTATTGCAGTTCTGTTTATAATGAGTCATTTCTCTTACATTTCATAACTAGACTTTTAGCGATAGAGGACTTTTACTTGCAGAATAAAAGCTTCTGCGTGCTGATATTTTCAGTGAAAACCTGATAAATCCTTTCTCCGAAAAGGGGGTTAAGCCCTAAACAGTTTATTTTATTTCTTGATTTTATAATGTCAGCTAATTTGAGATTAATTTCTTTCCTCACATTTCAAATTATGCTGCTAATTGTATCTGCTATTCTGTTCTTGTATTCATGCTTCTAAATCACAAGAGCGCATCTGTTTTCATAATAAAACAGAACAGCTTTTCTGGTTATTCATATTGGAGCCAGAACTTGGTTTTCTTGTCGATTGAATTTCACATGTAAATAATACCCAGAAACAGTTTCGTTTACCGTCTGATGTCCAAAGTGTCCTTAACAGCTGCTCATGTTTGAAGATGTTCGAGATGCTGAAGATGCACTCTATAACCTCAATAGGAAGTGGGTCTGTGGCCGGCAAATCGAGATACAGTTTGCCCAAGGTGATCGCAAAAGTAAGTGTAAAGGACCCTTAGCTCTCCATGACAGAGCCAAGCTGTTACTGTTTCCGAGTGTCAGCAACAGTAGCGTGTCACTTAAAGGTCTTCAGAAAACGAGCGGCAGGGACTGTGGTTTTCAGGGGTAAACTGTTAGGAACCTTGTTCTTCATGTTCTAGCACCCGGGCAAATGAAGTCGAAGGAACGCCACCTGTGCTCCCCGAGTGACCACAGGAGATCCAGAAGCCCCAGCCAGAGGAGGTCTCGAAGTCGAAGTTCATCGTGGGGCAGAGACCGGAGGCGCTCAGACAGCCTGAAAGAGTGAGCACTGAGAGCAACAGCACACAGCTTCATTTTTCCCTTTTTCTAGGAAATATTTTAAAGAATTACTAGGGCGGGTGGGGGAGGGAGGTACTTAGATGATGATTTTGTTTAATATGGACAAACAAATTTCTGTAGAAAGACATGCTCTTCCCGATCACATCTGGGTTCTGTTTGTTTTCCTGGGCTGTGGGCTTGAACTCAGGACCTGGCAGATGCTCGCAGGTGCTCTGCTGGACCTCTACACTGGCTCTGGGGCTGTATTCCCAGCACCCCCTGATTTGTAGACTTTTAGCTTTAGGCAGGGTCTTGTTATTGTTGTTTTGGTTGTTTGTATTACAGGTACATGTTTATGGATGTGTGTGCACTGTGTGCATGTGCGTATGCATGCATGTTAGAGGCTTATTCCCAAGTGTCTATTTATTTATTTATTTATTTATTTATTTATTTATTTATTTATTTATCTTTTTAGCTTTTGAGACAGGGTTTCTCTGTGTTGCTTTGGAACCTGTTCTGGAACTTGCTCTATAGACCAGGCTGGCCTTGAACTCACAGAGATCCCCCTACCTCTGCCTCCCACGTGCTGGGATTAAAGTGATACGCCACCACTACCTGGCTCAGGTGTCTTTCTTGATCACTCTCTACCTTGGTTTTTGGTAACAGGGTCTATCACTTAACCTGAAGCTCATGCTTCAGGCTAGACTGACTGTCCAGTGAACTGAAGTCCACCTCTCTCTACCCCATTACATCCCCCATTGCTGGGTTCACAGATGTGCACCAGTGCCTCCTAACTGTTTAAAGATGCTATATAATCCAAGTTTTTTGTCCCTTAAGTCCCAGCCAGTTCAGTAGCTTTGAACTCTGAGGCTTGTGACTCAACTTTTGCTTATGTTGATTATTCTCTAATGCTTTCAGAGGATGGTTTTGCTTTGCTTTTGATAGAGAGCATTGCTGTGCAGCCAAGGCTGGTCTGGAACTTGAGATCCTTCTGCCTCAGTCTCTTGGAATGCTGTCACAATAGGCATTTCCTATCATGCTAACTCGTACAGCAGTTTTTGCTTTTACAAGCATTATTTGTAAACTTTTAATAATTGTTTTCTTTCTTTCCTTATTTATAAGGTTTTTTTCTTCCAATTTTTATGCCTGTTAACAGTTGTTTAACCCAGCAGGGTGTTGGGTGCATGTCTGTAATTCCAGCACTTGGGAGGTTGAACAGGATAATATAGGACTTTTTTTTTTTTTTTTTTTTAGAACTAAGGCATATGATATAGTGTCACAAGGTAAAAATGTTTTGAGCATCTATTCTAGTATAACAGATATTACAGACTTGTTATGTATGTTTGAGTCAAAAGCATGAATGATAAAATTAGAATTATTTCTTTTAGGCTAGAGGTGTAGTTTGGTGGTAGAGTATTTGCCTAGCAAACACAAGGCCCCAGGTTGTAGGCCAAGTGCTGCCAAAAAAAAGTGTCTTGTCATTAATCTATTAAAACATAATGAACATAATGTATAAATCAGACTTCCCATCATGACGACAAACACTCCAAAGAAGTACTTAAGAAGGAAAGATTTATCTTGCTCAGAGTTTCAGAGGGTCCAGCCCATGGGAGGCTAGATCCATTGCCGTGGGCCTGATGTGAGGCACACTATTGTACCCAGTGACCTTATTGTGCAGGTTGCTCAATTCGTGGCAAACAGTAAGCCGGGAATAGAACAGGTGATAAGAAACAGCTGTTGCCAGGCAGTAGCACAACACGCCTTTAATACCAGCACTTGGGAGGCCAAGGCAAATGGATCCCTGAGTTTACAACCAGTCTGGTCTACAAAGCAAGTTCTTGGACAGCCAGGGCTACACAGAGAAACCCTGTTTCAAAAGGGAGAGAGAGAGAGAGAGAGAGAGAGAGAGAGAGAGAGAGAGAGAGAGAGAGAGAGAGAGAGAGAGAGAGAGGAGAAAAGAAAGTAAGCAGGCTTTTCAATTGGCTGTCCACAGTGATTTAGTGGAAAGGCGTCTCCCCTCCTACCTCACACCTCCTGATAACTCCATACACTGTGAGTCCATCAGGGACCAACCCACTGATTAGGTCAGATCCCTCAGAATCTAGTCACACACCCAAAGTCTACTGCCTGGCAATCAGGCCCCTAATACTTGAGTCTGGGGAGGATTTATTATTTCTTTTTCTTTTTATCCATATGGGTCTTTTACTTGCATGTATGTCTGTGCCTCACGTTTATGCAACGCTTTGAGAGTTCAGAAGGTGCCAGATCCCCCGGAACTGCAGTTTACAGCAGTTGTGTGTGACTGACCACATGAGTGCTAGGACTCAAATCCAGATCCTCTGGAAGAACAGCAAATGCGTTTAACCCCTGAGTCATCCTGACAGCCCCGTGGGGTGTATTTCCTATTCGAACCATAGCACTATGAAGCCCGTCAGAAAGTGCTGTCTCTCAGACTGTTGCCTTGTGTAAAGTACACGCTCTAATATTACACGTGCTTTCAGGTCTCGACACAGGCGATCTTCCTACAGTCAGTCTAAATCCCGCTCCAAATCACTACCAAGGCAGTCTACCTCAGCAAGGCAGTCGAGAACACCGAGGAGGAATTCTGGATCTAGAGGCCGGTCAAGATCCAAGTCCTTACCGAAAAGGTCCAAGTCAATAGAAAAATCAGAGTCACGCTCACCCCCAAAGCAGACTGGCTCAGGAGCAAAAGCCAGACCACATGGACGGCACTGTGATTCCATCGCGAGATCCCCATGCAAGTCTCCCAGAGGGTACACCAGCTCTGGAACCAAGACACAGACAGCAAAGCATTCTCACTTTCCGTCGCACTCCAGATCGCGGGGTTACCACCATAAAAACAGTTGGTGAACAGCCGCTTCCCGAAGAGCCACCGCACTCTGCTATGAGTTATTAGACCTCGTTGTGGCTAAAATTCCTCAAGGCTTATAGAAATGGGAACTGGTGTTAGTTACCTTGGCCATGTGGAAGGAATACAATTGCCCTAGCTTTGACTAATAAGTATTTGATCTCAATTTAAGGGCTCACCCACAAGTCACCATGGCCACCACTGCGTAGGCTGTACTTGGTTCATGTTGTAGCAAGGGGGTACTTCCCAAAGGAAAGAGGCTAGATGGAACCAGTATAAAAATTCTACTTAGATATGAAATACTATCAATAATATTCTTTACAAAAGTATTTTTTACTCTAAAACACTTTTCACATAAAAAGTAATTGTGATTATATGTAATTGCATAGGCCAGACTTAAACCGTTTGACACCTGTGTCTTTCTTGTGACTTCTGTTTAAACTTGGGCCAATTCTTGGTAGGCATAGTTCAAATTACAGCATTCTGAAATCTCAAAAGAAAAAAAATCTATATAGATTCTGCAGCGGTTCAAAAGATAGTTAAAAGATGTTTAAAAGATAAAGAACCGTTCATTGTTTTTGAATGCAGCAGCATAGACCAGTTGGCATGAAATGATATCCATGTTTGCTGAAAATACGAAAACAAAGCTGGGTATGGTGGCACATGCCTGCAATCCCACGCTTGGGAGATGAGGTCGGAGGGTCAATCCACCATGGACTGGGCTACACGAGACCCTGTCTAGAAATAAATAAACAGATGCTTTTTAAAAAGGGGAAACCATTTTAGAAGTACTAGATTTTGAATGGTTTGCGAATACTCTAAAAACTATGGTGTGGAACACTCAGAATCCACAAATACTCATATTAAGCCTTACGTAGTTGAAGTACAGTACATTTTGTATAAATTCACATTTATACCATTATTTCTATATAGCTATTTTCATCTGCATTTTTCTTTTTAGAGCTCTAGTTCAATATCCTAATTATATACAAAGTCTTTTTAAAAGAAAAGAATTAAACACATAGTACATTATATTAAGAAATGCTAGCCAATGAGATGGCTCGGTGAGTAAATCCACTCACCATCCACACCTGGCCACCCGAGTGCAAGCTGGGCAACTTGAGTTCAGTTCCTGAACCCACTCAGAAGTGGAAGAGAACTGGCTCCTGCAAAGTATCTCTGACTTCCACACTGTGCAATGGCCTGTGTGTGCACGCACACACACACACACACACACACACATAAATGTATGCAAAAACTTTAAGTTCAAAACTATACCTTCAAACCAGACATGTAGTACACGTACATGCCTGCCATCCTAGGACTTGGGAAGCCGAGGCAGGGCCGAGGCAGGAACTTGAGACCAGCCTGGGAAACACTGAGATCCATCACACACACATATACACACACATACACATACAAAGAAAAAGGTCTTCATAAAAACAGCTTCTAGGTGAGGCATTTGACTTTTCCATTATGCTACTCTACATCTTAAAAACCAAATAACTTTGTTGACAGTTACTGCTTTTGTAGTTGTTATTACTTAGAATTTCTTTTACCATGTCATTGAGGTTTACATTTCAGAGGGTTTGGCAGATTTGTAATAGAATGGTTTGCATCTGATTGTCATAGGAGATATGTTTACAGATTAGCTTTGTTGAACCACATTGCTGAAACACACTGTCAGCCCTTACAGCTAATATGTATGCCTGGAATACCTAAGAAACCTGTCTTACATTTTCAGTATTTGGAGCTATGTTGCTTCTATTAATTTCCAGTATAGAGTTCTATAGTCTTTGCATTTTAAATCCTTTATGTGAGAAAAACTTCACAAAATAATTTGTACATTGGTGATACTTGGAGAAGTAACGCAAATTAATGTATATTATACTCTCTGGATATATTTTGTCTATTTAACCATAGCAACATTTATTTATTTCCAAACTTCACTCTGATGTTCCTCTGTAATAAAGCGATTATAAAAGCCTGGGAGACTGTTGGAAGCTTGAGGAGTTTGAAGTTATCCTGGCCCGTGCGTGTGTATACGCTGTCCTCTTCAATAGTGGCACATGTAAAGCCTTGGCTTCCTCAATCCCAGCACCGCAGGGGTGGGAGCAGGGAGCCGAGAAACTCCCTGTACTTCTGTGTTGTCTTTACCCTCACAGATCCTTTTGTCAAGGGACCATTACCTCAAGGGTGCACGACTTTTCTTGGGGAAACTTGAGCAAACTTGTAGTCACCCCAGAAAGGTTGCTAACAACAGTCCATCCCAGTCTAGGTTGGCGAGCTGATGAGGAGAAGTAGGCTTACAGAAGCAGCTTACAGGCTGGGGAAGAAAAGCTGCCCCTAGCAACTGTTTCTGTGTCCTATGGGCTGTCTCATGAGCTTCCTCCCCTTTCTCCAGGGAGTGTTAGTGAGCCCAGTCTTATGAGGGTCCTCTGAAGTTACCATGCCTGCTCTGATTTCCACCTGGCAATGGCCATGTCATGCCCAGACAACAGCATTCTGTAACACTTAGGAAAAAGTTAATACAATCCTGAACATGCTTAAATTTTCCACTTATATTTGACTTGGTTTTTCAGTAAAATACTGTTAATCCCAAAGATCCAAGGAGAAAGCTCATTGACCCGAATCCTCATGGCCAAATTAATTAAAGCAAGCTTTTTTTATTCATGTACACAGGCTGTCTCCCGCCAAAGTCGAGGTTCAAGAGACGAGCATTGGATATGAAGCAGAGAAGGATTTTATAGCTCGGAGGTAGGGGCTTCCAAATGGGTGATTTGACAGGTAATAGGTGGGGTTACAGAACATAAGCATAACGAGTTAGTCATAATGACCTCCTGAAAAAAAACAAATGGTTGCAAGGTAGTCGTAACAAGGGTGTCGTAACCACAGGTTTGTCATAGGTGGTCATATAACCTCTCGAAACAAAAGCATGGTTGTCATTTCCTGCAACAGGCAGTGCAGAACCATTTGTAGCTAAGGTTACAGGAGGGGCAGAATCCAATCCTTGAGAAACAGAGGATTAATCATAAACAGGAATAAACTTAGTTTGTCTTTACTATAAAATGGCTTTTAAGCCCAAGATGGAGGCAGGCTGGTTCATCAGTCCCTAATGCTGATGAGGACAGTGTTCAGTTTGAATGAAATGTGGCTTAAATTTTTTTTATTTAAAATTTTTATTATATGTATGGGTGCTTTGCCTGCATGTATGTCTGTGCATTTGCATGTGTGCCAGGTGCCCCAGGGAGGCCAGAATAGGGCATCAAATCCTTGGAACTGGAGTTATATATGGTTGTGGGTCACCACGTGTGTGCTGGGAATTGAACCTAAGCTCCCAAGAAGAGCATTTCAGTGCTGATAACCATCTCTCTAGCCTCTTAAATTGGATTTTTTTTTTTAAGAGCTAGGATTTGTTTTGGCTCACAGTTCAAGACACAATCCATGATGGTGGGAAAATCGTGTCGGCAGATGCAGAAAGCAATGGAAAAATGCGTGTGCTCAGTTTCCTTTCTATAGAGCCTGAAAGCCAAGCCCAGGGGATGGCCCCACCCACCTTTCCTGTTGGTCTTGGTCTTAGTGAGGGCTACTACTGTTGTGACAAACCACCATGACCAAGGCAGCTTTTTATTTCTGGCATGGGGGGCAGGGGTGGTTTTTATGAAAAAGGGCTACTTTCTGTAACCCTGGCTGTCCTGGGACTTATTCTGTAGACCAGGCTGGCCTTGAATTTGGAAAACCAACTGCCTCTGTCTCCCAAGTGCTGGGATTAAAGGCGTTTGATAACACTGTCCAGTTAAGGCAACCTTTTTTTTTTTTCATTTTTAAGACAGGGTTTCTCTCTGTGTAACAGTCTTAACTGTCCTGGAACTCACTTTATAGACCAGGCTGGCCTCAAATTTAACAGAGATCCACCGGCCTCTGCATCCCAAGTGTTGGGATTAAAGATGTGTGCCACCACACCTGGCCAAGGCAATTTGTTAAAAAAAAAAAAAAGATTTAATTGGGGGCTTGCTTATGGCAGAGTGTGTGGTGGCAGGCAGGGCGCTGCAGTAGTAGCTGCTGTGAGCTCACATCTGATCTAAAAGTTGTAGGCAGAGTGTATGTGTCTGTGGGGCTAGGGGGAGACTGGGCCTGACTTGGACTTTTTTGTTTGTTTTTCTTGTTTTGTTTTTTGAGACAGGATTTCTCTGTAGCTTTGGAGCCTGTCCTGGAACTAACTTTTGCAGACTCAGACTCACAGAGATCCTCCTGCCTCTGTCTCCCAAGTGCTGGGATTAAAGGTGTGTGCCACCATCGCCTGGCTTTGGCTTGGACTTTTGAAACCTTAAAGCTCACCTATAGTGACACAACTCCAGAAAGTTGGGGTGGAAAGGGTTTATTCAGCTTACACTTCCACATTGCTGTCATCACCAAAGGAAGTAGGGACAGGAACTCAAAAACAGGGCTGATCCTGCAGGCAGAGCCTGATACGGGGGACATGAAGGAGTGCTGCTTACTGGCTTGCTTACGTGACTTGTTCCGTCTTCTTTCTTACAGTACCCAGAACCACCAGCCCAGGGAGGGCACCACTCATAGTGGGTTATGTCCTCCCCATTGATCACTGATTGAGAAAATGCCTTACAGCTGGATCTCATTCAGGCATTTCCTCAACTGAGGCTCCTCCCTCTCTGATGACTCTAGCTTGGGTAAACTGACCAGTACAGTCACACCTCCTAATCCTTCTGAAATAGTCCACCAGGTGGGAACCAAACATTCAAACATATGAGCCTTTGGGGGCCATTCTCATTCAAACCACTCCCTAGCCCCTATAGGCTCTTGCCATATCATAACGCAAAAATGTATTTAGTTCAATTTCAAAAGTCCCCATAGTCCTTCCTAGTCTCAACAGTGTTTATAAGTCCAAAATCTCTTCTGAGACTCAAAGCAATCTCTTATATTTTATAGAAGCCCCTATAAAATCAAAAGGCAGATTATATACTCCCAACATAGAATATAAATTATCATTCTAAAAGGTGGCATATGAGGAAATGCTGAGCCAAAGCAAGACTGAAAACCAGCAGGGCAAACTCAAATCCCACTTGTCCATGCCAACGTCAAAGGGATTATTAGATGGCTCTTTGTATTTCCATTTCTTCCAGCTTTTCTGGCTACAACACACTTCTCTCTTGGACTGGTTCCATAGTCTTCCTGCCTCCATCTGTTCAACATACCAGATGGGTCAGATGGAAGCTTCCAGCTACTTCTCCAGCATCATGTCTATCTGCTTGCCACCACGATACCTGCCCTAATAAATGATTTCTTTTGAAAGCTGTCTTTTAAAAGACGGCGCTCCAGCACACAGTAGTAACCCTACCTAGGACAGAAGTTGATTCCCAAAGTGATGGATCGCCCTGAGGGCACCTGCACTCCCTGAAGCTCTGGGCTTTTCTTTACATTTCTCATCTACTTCAGCACAGGATTTGACTCCAGTGTTACATTTCCTGGTGTTATTTTTTTTTTTTATTTAAAACTGTACATTCTGTATCTTTTTGCCCCGTTTACTCTGCTCATTGTAAATCTGCATAAGTGTGATCACTAATAGCCACAGGACATTGTCAATACCAGACTGCCTTGCAAGACAGTTAGCTGTGTGATGATTTGATTGTGTTCTGACAAAATAAAGCTTGCTTGGAGTCAGAAGGCCGAGCTAGCCACTAGCTGACCATAGAGGTTTGGATGACTATGGACAGAGAGGAGACAGGAAGTAGTAAGGTGGGGCTGGGAGAGGGTTCCAGCCTCTTCAGGATGGAGGAACCAGAGAGGTGGAAAGCGACTGTGGCTGCTCCCCTGCTTCTCTGATCTTTCCGGATTTTACCCTGATATCTGACTCCCGATTTTTTTTATTGATAAAGATTAATTAGATTTAGGCTTCATCTGGCGTCCAACTTTTTGAGGCATGAATTCGCGAGCTAGCCACTTGCCCTTGGCTTTGCAGCCACTGGCATCCACCTGAGCTGCACCCACTGCTGCCAGCTGGCGTTTCCTTTTCTTCCCCAAGCCCTCTGAGTCTGGGATTGCCCTATTGCAGCCTCTCTACAGCAATCGCCACAAGCCCCAAACTCCACAGGCATCTGGACTCCAGACACTGCCAGAGTTAGCCCCTCCTCCTGGCCAGCTCTGCCTTCAGGCAGCTCAGTGCTTTCACTTCCTGCGGCTTTCACAGGTTCCCCAGGTCCACCATTCAGCAGATGTCTGGCTCTTTGATTCCTTTCCTCCATGGGTTGTGGGCTTCTCCCGGACCCCCACCTCGGTTTCTAACACGTGAGCAGTGACAGCTGTCCTCAGCCAGGCTAGGCACCACCTGTGTTCTCCACCCAAAAGTGCTACACGACAGCTAGCCTCACACTTCACCGTCATTGTCAACAGATAGGCTGAGACAGCTAGGACTTTTTAAAAGGGGGAGGCAAGAGTTTTTTTCCCCACATTAAAAATAGAAAACAGGGGGCTGGAGAGATGGCTCAGAGGTTAAGAGCATTGCCTGCTCTTCCAAAGGTCCTGAGTTCAATTCCCGGCAACCACATGGTGGCTCACAACCATCTGTAATGGGGTCTGGTGCCCTCTTCTGGCCTGCAGGCATACACACTGACAGAATATTGTATACATAGTAAATAAACAAACAAACAAACAAATAAATATTAAAAAAAATAGAAAACAATATTACAATGGAGGGAGTTAGGTCTCTGTATGATTCCACAATGGATGGTTTAAAATCGGAACAGTTAAATGAGGGGATAATTAACTTAGCTGTGATTTACATAATGTCAATTATAATCATTATCAGTTTGGTAATTCTTGTTTTGGTCCTAAAAAAGTTGGTTGATATCAATGCCAAATATTAGAAATTGACTGATAATATGCAAGCCCTACAACTATTTACTAAAGAAAATAATGCAATTTTGACTGATAAGTTACAAGTCTTAGAAAAACTTATTAAAATAGATAATAAA